ATCGACAAAACCTAAGTAGTAGACTTTGTTATATTCTCTGTATTTTTGAAGAATCTGTCTTAACACATGGATGTGGTCTATGGTAGAGAATTTGCTGCGGAAGCCGGCTTGTTCTTTTGGTTGATTGTAATCAAGTACTGCAGCAATTCGTGAAAGTAATATTTTGGAAAAGATTTTATAAATATTGGTCATTAAACTTATTGGTCTGTAATTCGCAATATCCCCTTTACTACCTTTTTTATGTATTAGTACTATTACTGATTTAGTCCAATCATCAGGCACAGTCTCTAGATTTAGAATTTCATTAAAAATTTCAGTTAATCTTCCGGCGGTTGCTGATATTGTTGCTTTCAAAATTTCATTAGTAATTTGGTCCGATCCCGGTGCTTTGTCAAGTTTTTGAGATTGAATAGCTCTTATAGTTTCTTCTTTTATTATCTTTGGTGTTGGTTCGTCATCTTCCGCTGTTATGTTTAGTTCTGTTGTTATTAAAACGGGGTTTCGAGTCTTATACAAATTCTTGTAGTAATCAGTGGCGACTTTTAATATTTCTAACCTCTTAGTGGTATATGTTCCGTTATTAGTGTTTGCACTCGCCATCCATTCTTTCTTGTTGTCTAATTCCTTATATCCCTTCCTTACACCTCCTGTTCTTATTATGTGTTGTTTCAAAGTATTTGTTCTTTTTATTTTCCTATCCTTTCTGAGCAGTGCACTAATCTTTTTACTTAACTCTGATATCTGTTTGCGTACTTCTCCCTTCTTTCCACTTCGTATAAGATCTTTCCTCTCCTCTAGTAGTTGTTTTGCTTCTTTTGAAATAGATTTTTTCACATCTGCGGCCGATTTCGTTATAGAAGTTTTTAATATGTTTATTAAACTATCATATTTTCCTTGCATTGACATACTAGGTTTGTCATTCTTTATTATTTCATTTTGTAAGTTATTAAGGAATTTATCATTATTATTGCTAGGAAAGATGGTGGGTAGGATTTTTCTGTAAAATTTTCTATTCGTTTTATTAATATCTGCTGATAATGTGGCCCTAACCATCTTATGGTCCGTATTAAAATTTAGATTATTTATGACTGAAACATCTTTAAAAACGTCTTTATTATTTGACATTATAAAATCAATTTCGTTCTTATACATTCCATTAGGAGATGTCCATGTCCATTTCTTTGTTTTCTTCTTTTTGTAAAAACTATTTAAGATGCTCAGTTTGTTTTCTAATGCAAAGTTTACTATTCTCGATCCATTCTTACTTCTTTTCCCTATACCATATTTTCCTACTGTATATTCTTCACCCACCTGTCTTGTTCCAATCTGTCCATTGAAATCGCCCATAACGATAACATTTTTGTAAGCGGTTTCAAGTGTTGTTTGTAGTTCTTGATAGAATTGGTCAGTTATTGCAATATCTTCTTTCTTATCCGATTCTGTAGGTGAGTACGCTTGAATAATCGACCATGTTTCATATCTTTTCCTATTTGTGGGTAGTTTTATGTTGAGAATTACTATTCTTTCCGATATTCCTTTTATCTCTATTATGCCTTTTGATAGGTTTTTCTTAATAATAAACCCTACTCCATATAACCCTGCGGTTTCACCTTTGTAATGTAGAATATAGTTGTCGTAGTCGATAATTTTTTCTCCCAGTCTTCTTACTTCGCTTATTCCTAGGATATCACATTTTATATGTTCTATGGCTGTTTCTAATTCTATAAGTTTTTCCGGGGTTCTTAGTGATCTTGTATTGAGAGTTGCTATAAATATATCTGATGAATGTTTTCCTGTCTTTCCTTCTATTTTTAGAGGGTCGTGGTCGTTAGCCCCCACGAGGACCAGTCGGCTTGGGGGAGATTTGTGTTCATTAATTGATTTAAATGTTTTATTGTCATCACTAAGTCTCGTTTTCCGTTTGCCGATGTTTAATTGTTATTGATTTTTTGTTGCGGGTGAGTTAGGAAAAGAGTTTGATCTAGCTCTCATCATATCAAAAGCGTTTGTCCTGTTCGTTTTGATGGAAGATAAAGCCTGTTGTTTATTCGGATGGCTAACATGAGTAGAAGGCGAGACGGATGTTTCTCTTTTTCTTTTTTCTTTGTTTGTATTGTGGTCTTTTACTATTAATTTATCATATTTTATGTATGCTATTTTTCCCTTATTACGTTCTTCAATTAGTTCTACTTGCAACGCTTTCCTCTTCTCTAAAACTTCTTTTGGATAGTCTTCATTTACATAGATATTTTTCAATTTCTTTTTATTCTTAATGATTTCGTTCTTTTTCCAGTTGCTTGTAAACGAACAGAGTATAGGCCTCGGTTTATTACCTTCTCTTAATTTCTTACCGATGCGATGTATTTTATTAATATCGCGTGGGTCAATATCAATATTCGTATCATTTTTAAAAGTATTCTTGACCTCTTCCAATAGTTCCAGATCCGATCTTTCGTTCTCTTCCACACCGTACACAATAATATTATTATTTCTTTTGTCTCTATTTAAATACTCAATTTCCTTCTCCAACTTTTCTACTCTAAGTCTTAATGTCTTGTTTTCTTCTATAATGGGAGTTAATTTTTCCTCCATATGTTTCATTACATTTTTTGTTATCGATTCTTTTAACTCTGCAGTTTGGTTCTGCATTTCGACCTTCATTTTATCAAACAGAATTTGAAATTGCCCTTCCATATTATATAATCGTTAAATTGGTAAAACGCAGCAAGTAGATGGCAAGTATGTATAATTAGCGACGTGCGTAACAATTATTGAAATGGAAAACTAGGTAGTGACAGCTTAGTGTTTTCTATGTTTCATGTTTTGTCCGCCTTTGGATAAAATGATCATTTATCGCATTATGAGAGTTTGCAGCTAAATTTTCTGTAGGCGCTATAATATTTTTTCTCGAAGTGGGTATTGTCCAAAAACTAATTATTTTTAATTGTCATTGTGCACAATTTATTTGTAAACAAACACAAATATTAACACTGTATGTCCTAAATTTAAGCACTTATGAGTTTCGTTGATCCTAATTAGACACAAAATTGTTGATTTAAACGATAATAGTCAGTTTACACAATGTTCTGCGAGTTAAAACTGGGCATAATATAATGTTGTTTATAAGTTGTTTCACTATTTTGTTTCTTCAGAAAACATTCTCACTGATAAATCGTTGTCTAATTTGTCTATTTATTACACTTTTTCACTGTATTATTCACTTTGCGATTTTTTAATGCGTATTCTATACGTAGGTTATGCGTATGCGGCACCTGACAGCTGTCAAAAAAACTGAACAAATATTTGTGTAAAAATCAATAAATTAAATTTTATAATTGCGATTTTATAATTGCGTCTTACTTCTATAAAATAGACCTTACTTTGATAAAAAAGGACCAATAATTCATTATTCAAAAAAAATTACATTGCACAACAATTCTCAATTTTTATGTGAATTTAGTGTAGTATTATTTAACAAAGTACATACCTTTAAATAATTTAACTAAGTTTGTCATAACTCTAGGGCAATGGTATGTATGAGCAGTAACTAGATTAAGTACAAATCTGCTGTACATTTCAACAAACTTTTCTCCTCTACCAGCCCACTCCACATTGCACAACACATCGACAAAATGCTTCAATTCCCTTCCAAGAAGAACGACACATGCCAAACAATCTTCTAGCAGTACCTGATAATTGTCATCATTTATAGGATATTCCTCTAATACTTTGACAAGATCATGGTATGGACCAACATTACTGTTCCTCGTATAATTTACTAGAACTTGCTCTATTTGACCTTTTTTAAATGATAATTTCATACGAGCCTGCGCATTTTGCCGGTCTAATGTTTTCCGCATCAAAGCGGCAACATTTTTCTGAGTTATCATTTCCATTATTTTTTAAGAGCCGCCGATACGTCCTTCAAATATGCAATAATTTCTGGCTGACGTAGCAGTTCAGCTTTCTTGTGATTTAAAATCTCCCGTAAAACAGTACTGCTGTCTTCAACGTTTGAAGTGCCTTGTGAGCTCTGTTCAAAACTCGTACTAGGTTTAGGGTAGCTTATGCTGGACTCCGCTGTTTCAGCGCTTCTTTTATCTTTTAAAAACGATTGTAACCTTTCCAGAACGACTTTACTGTCACCTTCTTTCTTCTCGGTACTATAACCTTCTTTGGACATGGCACAATAATAAATTTACATCGTGTATCGGTTATATATGTAAAAAAAGCTAATTGATTATAAGAACGGTAATAAGCTTAAATCTTTAATAAGCAAATTGAGAGTAAATCACAATTTCGAAAATTACTTGAAAACAACACGTGCACAACTTATTGTGCGCGGAACATTGGAAAAAATGACTTAAATCTGACAGATTGACAGATTCCGTGAAATGTCAGAAGAAATAATGGCCATTTGGCTACTAAAGAGTATAAAACCAATCACACCAAAAAAGCCAATAGTGACGAGTCTTGCCTTGTTGCTTATTTTTAAGGTTTTGATCGTTTGTTGATTTCATAAAATAATCCCTTAAATCCATTTAGTTTTATTAAGCCCGCTAAGAAAGTTTTTTTTTATGAAATCGATATTTCGCTGTCACTCAATCGATTGGCCAAAGAACAACACTTATCATCAAATGTCTTATCTGTGGCGTTTCACAATTTCTCATTTTATTTTTCTCAATGAGTTTGGGAGGGGTACGGTGCGTGTGTACAACTAATTCCGGATAAATCGTTTATTTTATTTTATTATTGTCAGCGTGTACGATGTGTTATTGTGAAAATGTGTTAACCTGTTTAAATAGCGTGTAAGGTCACATACTCAGTTTCTCTCCAGTATTTGCAATAATCATGCAAAATGGCCAACGATTTGTGGTCATGTTACTGTTGTACAGAAGCACTGACATGTTGGTTGCGCTTAAAACTATCACCTGAAGAGATAGAGCAACGTTACAGAAGTAAAGAGATCGATAGAATATTGGAGAAGGACAAGCAGACTTTACGGCGACAAGTCAAACTTTTATTACTCGGTGCAGGTGAAAGCGGAAAATCAACATTCCTGAAACAGATGAGAATAATACACAGAGTCAAGTTTGAGCCGGAACTAGTGCGCGAATACCAACATGTGATTTATCAGAACATTGTGAAGGGTATACAAGTGTTAGTGGACGCTAGAGACAAGCTCGCGATCCCGTGGGAAAATCCGAGGAACCTCGACATCGGGCAGCAAGCGCTGCACTTCAACAGCAGTGCGTCACTCGACAGCCTGCTGTTCATGCACTACGCGCCACACATACACTCCCTATGGCTGGACAGAGCCATAAAAAGGGCATATGACAGGCGGAGAGAGTTCCAACTGGTGAGTGCCTCTCATGTTTGCAAAGTAAACAATGCTTGTGTAACACTTTTCTTTGTTTTATCTGTTCCAATATTTGTCATAGTTTGTTTTTGATAAGCATTATTTACACAACATTATTGATGATTTTGTGTAGACAGGTCCTACTTTTGTTGCTTTAACTAAACACCAATACAATAGAGTGAAGTTTGTACATTTCAAATATGTAACAAATTTATTTAATTGCATATATTTCTATAAAGTTACTAATCAAATTTTGTGTAAATTGTTTTTAATACAGTCTAATTATTTTGCTAAAAAGTAATTTGTTGATTCATATTGTGTACTAAGAGTTTTTAAAGTAAATTTACATTTTTTTTGGTATGTACATACCTATTATATTATACATACATATTTTTTAATTAATAATTAATAAATAAATTTAATATTTAGCAATGTGTTGTATTTAAACAACTCTAATTTTCTTGTATGCTTGTACTTGTTATGTTTTATGATTGGATGCTGGTGATCAGTTTCATAACAATACTATTTGGTTGTTAAATTATTCAGATATTTGCCACAAAAATGCCAAATTACATACAAAATAAGCTATATAAAACCATTTTATATTATGTTTAGAACTAACAATGCATCACTCATAATTGTAAGGTTGTAAATGAAATAATTGTTATATTATTTCTTATCTTATAGTATTAGTCATAGCTTCATTGCATTGCGACACACTTCACAGCCCGAGATATACATTGATTCTAAGGACACACATGTGGTCAATATTGCAACTGTTTTCTACAACTAAAATAAATCCACAAAGAACCTGTGTGTGTGACCTAAATCGCTTAGTAAAGATATTAGATAACCACATGGTATTCTGTATGTAATATTTTCTTGATGCTATTAAATACAACCTATGGGATTTTCCATAACCACACTATTGTTTTAGCATATTCAAAAAATGTGGCAGGAATTGTGAATGTCCAACGGTTTGGGCCCAACTTGCCTGGGAAGAGATAGAAAATATATGCCACTGACCTTTGCTAGAGGCCTCAAGAAGTCAGAATGTGTTTAGTGCTTGTTATCGGAAATTTTCATTGACGAAACATCTGTATAAAAGCATATTGTTAGGTCTGTTTTTATACACTAAAAAAGACATCGATATATTTTCGTTTATGGGTTTCGACAGTGACCTGATCTGATATGAAATTGCGTGCAATATAAAGACCTATTTACATGATACAAGTTTCGTGCATATTGCAAATAATTTAATAAATGTCTATTCAAAAGTTGCTTACAGTTATTAAAGGTGAATAATGCGCGCAATTTATTGCATTCAATTATTGGTCCGTATAAGAAAGTGGTATCGTCTAAATGGACCTTTATTCTCCCAAGCCATTAAGTTAATATGGGTATTAGAGCCTCAATGATTTATTTTATTCTAATTATTACGGGTCGTGCGTCCATTAGCTTTGTTGTAGCATACACCGCCACGCTGTTGTTATTCCGTACTGTATTTGTGAGACTTCCTTCGAAAACGGAAGTGTATCAGTGACGCCATTTCGTCCATTCATAGCTAGTCATTACGTCAATTTAAAAATTATTTACTATACTAATTGGGTATGAGTCGTACACTTGTTTCATTGTCGACAGTTGAATGATGTAAAAAAACCACAAGAAATAGAGTTTGGTTTTTATATTAGTTGTCAATAATGCGCTGACCAAAGTGGTGACTCCTCTAGTTATAAAAAGCATTGAATTTTCATGAACAGGTCTAAACTAAAACACAGGTTCGGTGTCAGTCTTGTGCCGCATACATTTTATAAAAATGAATATACAAAAGTTAAAACTACACGATTTAAAGTAATCGCACTTTTTTCTTGAGTCGGTAGTCGTTCATACAAGAATAAGAAGTTCTGTTACGTTTTTTTATATGTCTAATCTCTTTAAGTTTATTAAACGTGTGTACTTTGTACCTCGTATTGTGCAATGTATTATAGTCACGTTATACATTCCTATTCATTTATTTGTGCTTGTTCGGGTTATTTTTTTATTGATAGTGCATTACTGTGATGTTATATGAATGTTTTTGTACAGTTTTAGACTACATTTTATAAGTGTAATTCGTAAAAGTAGCACTTGTTTCACCGTAGGTTTCTGAAACCAAAATCCCCGTTTAATTATCTCTGTTTCGTCAATGATGACAGGGATGAAGATATGTTTTATGCAAAGATTCTGGTCTTAGTAACCAACGGGTAAACAAGTTTTTATGTTTTTCTGATAAACAACTTATCTAAGGAACTACCTTTAATCGATTTTATTTATAGTTAGAATTAATTCGTTGAATTAGATTTATCTTTACGGGCAAAAATAAGTCGTTGTCATAAAAAAGTTTTATCTTCTTTAACAGTGTGACCTCTTTTATGTGTTAGAAATCACGTTAGCACGCTCGTTCTCCCGATGTTGACAACATTTTTCCGGATCTCGAGCCAAAACTGGTACACGGCTACGTTTATGGTAAAGCCGTGGTGTGGTGACTTTGCATGTGGTAACGTGCGTGTAACACGAATGCTAATTGTATTGCTCGACGCGATGACATGATTTTGCATCGCATATTTGTGGACAAAGAATACTACGTCACCATAACATTATAGTGTGGTCAGGGTTGGGAAATTTATAGTTTAATTTGTATAAAGTTTGATGATTGAAGCTTTTACACAATCAATCATGATTCATGACTTAAAATAATGAATAAGCGTTTTATTTTATAAAATGTCGTCAGGGATCTAATTATTTAATATTAACTAAGGATTATTGTCCTTCATAAGTAGAAGTTGTACTGCAACAATCCAGTCATGGCTACATATTTATTTCCATACGGTTAAAAGTCTGTAAAATTACGATTTCGATGTTAGATTTTATACTTAACTTTCGCATCAGACTTCGCAATACATACGTTGATAGCCCTATTTGTATGAAGACTACATGCCTATTGCAATGGTGTGAAATCCATATACGAATATGTTTTGATGCTATAGATATAAAGTTTTGACTTGGATGCGATCCATTCGTTGTTTGGCTGTGGGTAAACCGCTATTTACCATATGCCATTTCTAATACTTTGTAACAAACAACACTATACCTAGACAATTGAATTAATTACGTCAATATATATCGCAAGTCAAGTATATAGTAGTGGACATAATCCGGGATTCGATCCTCGATCTTTTGGTAGTAAGACGTAACATTCACTCAGCAACCGTAGTGAGTAGTATTATATCAAAAACTTTATGTTAAACCACAAGATGTGTTTATCAGGCCACACGCACGTTACATAATACCTAGGTATCCGGCATAGTTAACTTTGCGATCTCGATCTTGCTACGGTGATTTTATGCTGGCATTTAAGGTATTTAATTGCGTGCCTTGGGCAATTTTGAATCGACTCGACTTCAGTTATAATGCAGCTGACTGCAAACTACCTACAGATCGAAAGGACCGGAAATTTAAAGCAATTACCGTCATTGTAGGCGGGTACAACTTTGAACGTAAAGGAATGTTAACATTTTAAAGTTTAGTATTGAATGGAATTATGATTATAACATACTAATCTCTATGTTAATTGATTATACGAAGAAAAAATATTAATAACTCTTTGTGGATCACGTTTTTGTATCACAAATACTATCGCTTGATCACTTCTCACTTCTAAAAGTGGGCAGAAATTATTTTGTATGTATTTTGTTTCTATAGTATTCCACCCTTCTTCATTCAAAACTTTAATGATAGGAATTCATGTTTGTTTGTAATAATAATGATTAATCTATTTGATTTTGTTCTTAAAATACTCTTTAAAATCGTTTGAAAAAATTAGTATATTGTGTAACATTTTTTGTGAAGCAAAGTTTATCTACATTTATTTATTCAACTACATTGCCTCTGTATTATTCCGACTTAAAAACATCTTAATTCGTTTCCCCTTTCATTTTAAACAAAAAAAATCGTATATTTCTTTGAACAGAAAGCATGGGTATTACGTAATCTATGATTTGAAAAATGAAAGTACATACTCGCAGCAACATCGGAACGGATGCGAAATTGCGTCAGACAGTTTACGTCTCGAATGCCTAGACCGTATATTTTTATCTTAATTAAGCTCAAATATAGGTGTGCAGGTTTCCAGGAACGAAGCGGCCGACCGTTTCGCTATTAGACAAGGTGTAGCTTCCGTGAATTTGTTTTAAAATAAGGAGTTTATGCGAGATTATGTCGAACCGTGGCGTTGTGTTCAAGCCATTAGCGGTACTTGCACGCAATTAAGTGTCCACGCACTTATGTTTGCGTCGATTTTAAGAAAAAAAAAACGAAAGAGATATTTAATTGGACCAATTCTTTACGCCGCTGGCATTGGTGAGCCGATTAAGGTTATTTGGGATAACAGCATGGTTTCGTAATAATTTTATTTCCATCCAGATTTAAGGAAGGTTCGCATATGATTTTTTAAATGGCTTATAAAATTATTCTAAAGAAAAAAATGTGTCGTGTAAACTACGAAACATCAATTGTAACACAAAAAATGTTTTAATATTCGTATTATGATGTCGGCAATAGATAATTAAGCTAATATTTTTTTATATGTACTTTCATTGTACAGGTACCAACAATGATAGCTGGCAGATCCTTTGTTATTTTTAACGTATTCCTTAGTCATAAACAGAGTAAGTAATTTTCTTTGTTAAGAACACATTATGCGTAGGAGACAACTTGTGTAATTTATACGACTTTAATATGGTTGAGAATATGTAAAGTTGCCATGAATTGAAAAAAATATACGTATGAGGTTTTTTTAGGGTTTATTTAACTCTGAAATAATTTTTATGAACGTGTGGCTTTGAATCATACTCAAGATCAAGAAAGTTCAACTCGATAGTATAACGGGATGACTGGTTATTATATATTAACTAACTGATCGTGGGTTTCTGAGAACAAAATATCTGTATCAAACATATCGC